ATGAAAAACTTGTAAAAAGTGTTTTCGCTCTTGGTTGCAGTGAAACTATGCAGCGACTGCACTGGCATGAGGTTTCAGCAATTCGAAATCTATGTAGAAATCTTTATCTGACAATTCCTTATATGCTCGAATCAATTTGAAATCGCTATACACCCGTGATAAATTTTGTCGTTAACTTGAAAAATTATGAGCATTTCTCGGAGATGCTTTTCGCAATAGATCACACGTTGGCGATAGTTGGCGATGGGGTAGCGACATTTGGTGCTTTGTAGGATGCACTTCTCTTGAGACTCGGAGGATTGTATTGTCGTTCGAGGTGCCAATAGTGATGCCATAGGATAAAAGTGAAAATCCAGTTGAAAAAGAACCTAAAGTTGATGTAGATTTTTTCCAAAATTTTATCTTTTACAACACGGATTCTTACCCGAAAAGGTATGCCGTAAACATGAGCCCTAAATCCATATCTACTCGTCCACCCAAAGCTTCCAGAAGTTTTGGCGCAGTTGCCATTGTCAACACTGAGAGACCTAATGAGTAAGACGATTGAATAAGAAGACCTGAAAAACATAGCATTTATTTCCAAACTAGAAAATGTTGTAGTGTAGGCCTAAGGAAAGTGCATCTGAATCACGTCTCAGTTCAATGATGATGAATAGTAATCATGAAATCTTAGGATTTAACTCAAAAATTAGTTTCTTGCCATCTCAATGTTTTTAGTCAGTTTTGCCAGTTTTGCTGGGATAGAAAATCATGGGCTATTGACAGCTGACATTATACGTATATCATGCAAAACTAAAAACTACTGAATGATGTGAACGATCACCTGGCCACAGTAGCCATAAAGGCCTTGGCATGCAAAGCAATGAGAATATAGCAAGTGAAAGAGATGAGCTGTGCTCTATGCACCATCCAAAACGCATATATCCTCCATCTGTAATGCATGAAAACTTGTTGGCAAGAAATACTTTAAAAGGTAGTGCATACCTAAATAATTAGCGACACATTCCTCTGTTCCAAGCACTCGATGCATTAAACCAAAATCGAATATGATGATGTCATAGGCCAAATATCGCTGCTAAAAGGAAA